GTCTTGCATCGACGTGCTCCGCGGGAAGCGCCCCTCCAGCAGGGACGCCAGCTTCTCATCCTCCCCTGCAGACAGAGGGCCCCGTGAGACTGGCCAGGCGCTGGGAGCCAGCGACTTCGGGAAGGCCCGTTGGACCCCAGCACCTGCCATCGGCAGAATCCGCCACGTCTGTTTCACCCCAGGGCAGCCAGGGATCTGCACCCCAATACCATTGCCAGTTTCAGGGGGGGTGTTCTTGTGAAGACTGGGGAGAGGAGTCAGTTCAGATATAGGGTAGAGGGGGGCCTGGAGAAAGTACCCAAACTCTGACCACACAACTTGGGGCCAAGACCTGCCCCAAACCTGGGACATAAAGGGGCTCAAATGAGACACCCCAGGAGGGTAGGAGCAGCCCTCCAGTCATGGGGGTGGGGTGCAGGGCTTCCCGAGTCTGATCACAGCTCAGAACCGATCACAGCCTGCAACCAGCAGGTTTGGGGGGAGGGGGGCTGGGGGCAGCCAGAGGCAGAGAAAAGGGTACTTTCTGAGCAGGAAGGATCCATTGCAGACACAGGGACGGAAGGGCTGTAGCCAGGGAAGCCACGCCTCTGGCAGGGAGACAGCTGATGCCCAGGTAAGGGGGTGCCTGGTGCATGTCCAGTACAGGGCCAGGTAGACAGAGTGGACTGTGAGGCTGCCACTCACTGGGAGGGAAGGAGGGTGGATGGAAATGGAACTGCAGGCTGACCACCCCACATTTCGGTTTTACTCCCTGCTGGCTGTGCAACCCCAGGCCAAGACCCGAGCCCTTCTGAGCTTCAGTTCTCTCCTGGGCAACACACATTAAAATAAACCCCACTCTGTCTGCCTCAGACATAGTTAGGGTCTGAGCAAGGGCAGGTGGGAGTGCTCAGAGCCCGCATCTCCCTGCTGCCCACCTGCAGACCGGCAGGGCCTCCTTGTAGACACCATGTGGACACCTGTGCTGCAGGTGTGTGCACATAGGCTGCAGGTGTCTGTGGCCCAACCCAAGGAGAGTGCATTAATGGCTCTCCATGTTGACACACACGTCTCTTGTGGAGTGCCTGGGGATGTGCACCTGGCCTCGCTCTGGACTGGGTGATATTTTTACGAACTCAACAAGATGCCTCTTGCCTGTCCCCAACCGCCTCCCCCGTTAGCCAGCCCGTGCTTGTGCCAGGCTGCCTACGCCCATTTGCTTCTTGGCCTGCTTAACAGCTCTCATATCCCCAGCTCAGCACGGGTGGACTTTTGAGTAAAGAGGCCTTATTGTCTGACGTCCCTTAACCTATCAGCACTTCAGTTTCCTCATCTCAGGGGCACTGCCCTCCCTGCTCCCTCCCCCACTGTGGGCCTGTGTGAGGTGGAACCATTTAGAGCTTACAGCACAAGGCTAAGCACCTAGAAGGGACCCAGATGAGACCCAGGTCATCATCATCATCATATCAGGTCTGCCTTCCACCCCCTTGCTGGACACAGGAACACAGTATATAAACACCCACCGCCCACGTGCGTGAGACAGGTACACAGGGAAAGCGGTGCCCCTAGAAGCTGCAGGGGGTGTGATGTGCCAAGTTCTAACTTCAAGTCCCTTGCCTCGGGATGAAATGGGGAGTCTGTTCTGATGCCATCTTGGGTGGGCAGAGAGCATTACCCCAGCACTTGAGTGCTGGCCCCCAAATGCTAGACCAACACCACCAAGCACAAGCAGTGGCCCAGTGTTCGGCTCAATGCAGCCCCTGGGGGAGCCTCAGAGCGGCCCTGGAGGTAGGCAGGCACTAGGTGGTCCCCACATTTCCACATCAGGACCCTGAGGTTTCAAGGACTGAACCATGTGCCAAGGCCCCACAGCCAGGGCAAGGGGCGGGCTCTCCACGAGTCTGGTAACTTGTTTGGCAGGCCAAGAAGAGGGGTCAAAGATGAGCACCTTTTGCCCTGGCTGTTGTTCTCAGTGGTTAGAGCACTGGCCCATGCACCGAAAGTTCTCGGGTTCGATTCCCAACCAAGGGCATGTGTCTGGGTTGCGGGTTGGAGCAACCAATCGATGTGTCTCTCTCACATCTCTCCTCCCTGCTCCCCCCTCCCCCCTTCCCC